TTAACGAGAGTTTATGATSWATAAAAAAATACTAATTCAAATTATGTTTTCTACCCTTACAGTGAAGATGGACCAACTTCAAAAACAGGGGTATTTGAGTCATGCCCATAAAAGTATAGGGCATTTCCACTTTTTATAGTAATTTAGAATTAAAATCATATTTTTGGTGGACACTATTGTAAAATTAGACAACTCGATAAGATCTCCATGTTGGAAAATAGTTTATGAAATTTCTTGCAAATTATATAAAATAATGATTAAGAACATCATAGAAACCTTATCATGCTTCAAGAACTAAGGGTCTGTTTGGTTCGCAGGCAAGACCGGAATCAAAATCGGAATCACCTATTCCTCGCATCTGTTTGGTTCAGTCAGGAAACAGAATCAAATTCTGATTATTACTATTTGGTTCAACCAGAAGCTGGAATTGGAATCATCCTAAATTCTTCATAATTTTACCCCTGTTAAAAAAACCTCAATGGTAGAAGTGAAGAAACAACCAATTCTTCATAATTTTAGGGAAAGAACCCCCAGTTGAAAGAACCCCAAACTAGAGGAAAAAGAAGAAGAAAAAGAAGAAATGACCCACCAAAAAATTCTTCATAATTTTAGGAAAAGATTTAAACTGGTTTGAGTGAACGTCAGACATGACAACATTCAACAGTCTCTCTGCTAATGACTCTGGAATGCTCCGTTAATACAACACATCCATTATTAAACAGTGGTCAGATTCTCAAACATGGCTGATAGCTTCCCAGCATGGCAGGTCTCCGCTGTTGACAGGAAGCTTCTTCAGTCATATGGGACAGCCTCACAAGCTGATGTGGTGGTTGCCGCCGATGGGTCTGGTAATTACAAGACCATCTCTGGTAATTGATCACACTGACGTCAAACTTCAGATGATTAAGGGTTGGATATTTGAGCATTAGTGTTTTTTGTCAATAAATAAATAAATAAATAAATGGACAGGAATGGGAATTGCATTCCCTGGAGAGGCGTCGGAAATGGCCATTCCCCCATATCGGGAAATCCCATTCCGCCTAGAATGGGAATGGGATTCCCATTCCTCTCAACCAAACGACAGGAATCGGAGTGGACCATTCTGATTCCAATGCTAAGCTTCTATTCCCTCGAAGGCTTGAACCAAATACACCCTAAAGTTAGAAGTAATTAATCTATATCTATCTATCTATCTCTATATATTAAAATTGGTTTGTCCACGTTGGCACCCTTTCCTTTGAGAAGCTATTTATCTATTTTCTCCATTTTTTTCATTTTTTCTTATTTTCTTTTATTTTAAAAATATAAAATAGTAATAATTGTTTATCTTGATGAGATTAATAAAGCTGCACACTATTAGAGAGAGACCTTTGGGTTTTCCAAGGCCTCTTACTTTAATGCATGTTATTACATTTAAAAATTATATTTGAGAGAGAGAGAGAGAGACCTTGGATTTTCCAAGGCCTATTATTTTAATGCATGTAATTATTACATTTGAAAGAGAGAGAGAGAGAGGGGGGGGGAGAGAGATAATAGTAATAATATAAATCAAGGTTTTCAAAATTGAACTGGACAACGAACCGGTCAGAGGTCTGGCTCCTGGGTCGAACGGTCTGACCGTTCGAACTGAACGGATGGCCCATTCTAACAAAAAATAGAATAAATAAAAAGTGGCCAAAACCGTTGGATGATTCAAATGGTTTGACCACCCGAGTCAGTGGTTTGCTGGCTAAATCAACGGTTTTTGTCGAAATAACGATTCTTGGGTAAAATGAAACTGGTCACCTAACCGGTTCCCGATTTTCCCGGTCTGGTCCAGTTTTGAAAACCATGGTATAAATCAAATAATATAAATAGGTTGAGGTTAAACAATCAAAAAATTATTAATTTAAAAAATCCACTAGACTTTTACTAAAAATWAATATTAACAAAACTTAGTAAATATTAAAAATATGTTTCAATTCACTTAATAATCAAACTTAATAAACGCTAATCAAAATAAGAAATTTAAATATAAAAATATTAATTGAAAGCTTTAATAAAATTATTAGATAACTTATGAGTTGAGACCATAATAAACACTAACAAAAAATATTAATTGATAGTTTTAAAATACCAACAATTAATTAAAAATCTGAAAAATTCTGAAAATCCTAAACATAATTAAAACACAAAAAATAATTAAAAATATTTTATATTAATAAGGGTATTCACTGAAAATAATTAAAAAGTACAATTAATAGTATTTTATTATTAACAAATAAAAAAAAACTATTAAAAAATACCCAGGCTAGAAATTATTGAAAAATATTGAAAATTAGCTATATTTTTTTTATTAACTATGGTATTTATTTAGTTATTTAAATTATGAAAATATTGAAAATTATTAAAAAATACGTATATCCAAAAATTACTAAATAATAATGAAAAAACACCAAAAATTAATTAAAAATCTGAAAAATGTAAAGCTTAATTAAAATACTAAAAATAATTAAAAAATTAAATTAATTGTATTTTATTGAAAAAATACTGAATAGTAATGAAAAAATAATGTATTTTAATTATTAATAGTAATATAGTTAACACTAGTTATTTTTAAACTATAATCAAGAGTAATTATAATTTAAGCTATAAATAGTAGAAAATTACATTTAATTAGTTTTATCCAAGAAATTAGCAATATTTATGAAAATATGATAATTTTCAGAAATTACTGTATTTTAAATAAATATAGTAATTTAATAATTATAATTTTTTAATAGCTAACAATATTTTAATAATTAATAATAAAAAGTAACAAATTGTTTATAACTTAACCTAACCCGATTAGATATATAAATTTGAAGACTCAAGCAACTATTTGGGATAATCTGATCTGAAGTCTAATTGGGTATCAAACTTTTGGAGTCCAATGATGGCTTTAGCGGATAGGGCCCAAACTAAACAACCCCTAATAAGCTCAACTTAGAAGTTATATGCATATATGGTAAATATTATTATATAATATTTAAATAACAAATTTTATATTAATATATATATAGAAATGTTATGTATTTTTTATACTAAACTAGAATTAAATAAAAAATTTAATTTGTAAAAAGTTATAGTTTTATAATTAACACGGGTCTCTTTATCAA